CCGCCTTCCATCACCTCCGGAACATCGCCAGACTACGGCACTACCTCACCCCTCACGCTGCTGAAACCCTGGTTCACGCCTTTGTCACCTCAAGGCTGGACTATGGGAACTCTCTCCTCGTCGGCCTTCCCGCCACCTCCCTCCACACTGCAGGTCATTCAGAACTCTGCAGCTCGTGTACTGTCCCGCACCAGGCTTCGGGACCACATCACTCCCACCCTCGCTCGCCTCCACTGGCTCCCCATCCCCCAGAGGTTTGATTTCAAGATCCTCATCCTCACCTACAAGGCCATTCACGGCCTTGCTCCCTCCTACCTCTCCAACCTACTATCCCCCTACCTACCTGCCCGTACCCTCCGTTCCTCCGGCTCCGGTCTGCTCCACGTCCCCCGCCCCAACCGCCCTACCATCGGTGGTCGGGCCTTCAGCCTCTCAGCCCCGAGGCTCTGGAACTCTATCCCCCAGTGCCTTCGCCGCTTCCTCCCTTTCCTCCTTCAAGGCCGGTCTCAAAACCTTTCTCTTTGACCGTGCCTTCAGCTCCCCTCTCGACTCTCTTCCCCCTCCTCGCTCCCTCCCATCCCTCCCCTCACCCTGACCATTTCCCCCCTCCTCGCTCGCTCCCTCCCCTCCCCTCACCCTGACCATTTCCCCCTTGCTCGGGTCATGACCCAACTGTGCAGCGCCTTGGGACGTCCTCCTGACGTGAATTCCAGGCAGAGGGCGAAACCTTGGGCAAGTTTCCTTACTCCACACGCCTAATAATAATCCCTCCAAAACCAAAAAAAAAACAATAATAAATTGGTCATTTTCAATCTGCGACTGTTTGTGGGACATTGCTGTGCGCAATTGGCTGCCGCGTTCGCCCACAAAAAAAATACAGTCAATTCACTTTACAGTGTGTTCTGTGAAGCGCTTTGGGACGTCCTCCCGACGTGAAAAGTGCTATATCAAATGCAAGGATTATTATTATTATTATTATTAAAGGCGCTTTATAAATGGAATCTTGTTGTTGTTGTTGTTGTTGTTGTTTCGCTCATCCAAACCGTGTGGAGCAAGGAAACTTGCCTAAGATTTCGCATCATCTGGGAATCGAACTCAGGTAGTTTCTCTTCCTTGCGAGGCGTGCGCTCTAACCACGATGCTATAAGACCCCAATTCCAGCCTCAATCTACATTTTAGACCTTTTACCTATGATTTCAGAAACGTGAGAATCTTTGGACAATTCTTAAATCCGGTTAAATCAATTTTGAAGCCAGTTTTCTGCAATTCTCAGAACAACCCAAGAACTGGTTAAGACTGAATTTGCACATTGTGAAAAAGCGAAGACAAAGAGTGTCCCCTTAAGACTGATAGAAGTCAAACAATTTTGAAAGTTTGCAAGCAGATCTACCAATGTATCAGCCTTTATAACAGATCTGTAAATTCAGCAATGAATAAGCACCATTTTTACCCTACGCTCTCCCCCTCCCACCATTGAACACTAAATGGACACAAATCACATTCTGACATGTGTCAGCCTGGCTCAGTTGGTAGCAGTCTTGCTTCCATGTCAGAAGGCTGTGGGTTCAAGCTGTATGACATTGTTCCTTCTGCCCTGTTCAGGTTGATGCTGAAGATCCCATAAACACACTACAGTAAACTCCTTAATTCATCATGCTGTCAATATCCCGGCAGGAATTATTTATGTACACATATATGTATTTGTAAAGAGAAGGGAGTTTCTTCCGATGGTCTCGTTGACAATCCACCAGGTAAAATTGGACATTCACTTCATGGCTGATTGTGGGGTGATTGCTGCATGCAAATTGGCTGCCACGTTCATCTACAAAATACACAGTCACTGCACTTTATAGTAAATCCCGTGAAGTGCTTTGAGACATTGACAACGACTTGCATTTATATAGGTTCCTTTCCGTGGATAAGATCTCGGAGCAGCTCACAATGGCAGGGTTAGAGTCTGAGCAAGGGAGACGGGGGAGGTGAGCGTTGTTTTAAGGTGGGATTTAATGACAAAGAGCAATACATCAAATGGAAGCATTGTTATTCTATTGCATTCACTTTCGTATGGTGAGTATTTCAAGTCCCGCTTGTTATTGGCAGGATTTCCACACAGCCACCTGTAGGGAAAGGAAAGCCAAGCCCGGTAGCATAGCATCTCCCTGCTCAGCAGCGCACAATCTCCAGCCCACCTGACATGGTACCGGAGTTAAAAACACAATCGATATTCACCACATTGCCATCACACACATCTTTGTGCTGTCCGCCGGCTCTTTCTCGGCCAAATAAAGGCCCAAAACGCCCAACGAAGGTTTGGAAACTCACAAAGGCAAAGTCAGTATCAGCCCGCGATTTCCAGTTTGGGAACAGGTACACTTTCAGCCTTGACATTGGAGATCCACAAACACAGTCATTCTCACCCATCAGCTGGGCAGAGAAACAAAGTGTAGCCCCCACCCCCACCAGCACTTAATATACTCACTGCCGCTGGTGTCTTTCCTGCCAAAAAAACACCGCTAGCTTCGAAGCAAACTGCAAAACGGTTTCATGAATAATAAATATTCATGCAGCGATAGTGAATCATACTGCTGCAAAGTGAAATGCTTTTTAAGCACCGTGGCATTACAAACACCTACCAGGCACTGAAATTACAGGAATAAAATCTTCTCATGTTGTCAATTCCACGCAAATACATTGCCAAGGCGAGGCTTTTAAACATTAATAAAATTTACTGATCCTCAGGAGGATTATAACTGGTTGAGCACCATCAACTCCTATCAATAGACTCTGAAGCAAGTCAGGTAAGACAAGCTGAAGCATGGCCATGGAGGAGACTGGGGCTGTTTCACACAAACAGCCTGCAGTTACCGAGGAAATGAACGATATCAGTGACAATATAGTGGTAGGACCAATGGTAATCAGGTGGAAGTGGATTATAATAATAATCCTTGCATTTGAGACGTCTCAAAGCGCTTCACAGGATACACTGTAAAGTGAATTGACTGTACATTTTGTGGGCGGATTAGCTGGCAGTCTCAGTTTAGCTCAGTTGGAAGGGCTCTCACTTTTCAGTCAGATGATTGTGAGTTTGAGTCCCACTTCAGGACACAAGGTCAACATTAAAATCCACCCTACGAAGAGAGGTGCTGTCTTTTGGATGAGACGTTAAAATTCGAGGACCTATCTGCCCTTTCTGGTGGTGCAGATGGACGTTAAAGATCCTATGGCACTGTTTTGTCAGACGAACAATGGGTTTTCCTGACGTCTTGGCTGCACATTTCATTCTCAACACAATCCAGAGGAAAAACAACAGATTAGAATGTGATCACCTGTCTCACTGCCGTTTGTGAGGCTTTGATGCCACAGATCGACGTCCCAGTTGCTTAACGAACAACAGCCATTACACTTCAAAAAAAAATTTAAAAGCTTTATTTTACTTATTATTTCAACATAGAAATTGAGAAATTTCTTGAGAAAGTCGAGGCAATAAAGTGCTGTATCAAATGGAAACATTATTGTTAATTATTCTAATAATGCTTGCATTTGATATTGAGTTTCACGGCGAGAGCAGCTCAATGCGCTTCACAGGATTTTGCTGGCAAGTGCAGTGACTGCATATTTTGTAGGTAACAAAACATAAGTAGCTACCTGCGCCAGTGGTCACAGGGCACTTTGCAATCAGTATTGGCTGTGATCCTTCGCTTACTTGAGTTTTTTTCAATGTAGAGCAATAATTAACGTGATACGGAAATTCCGAATGTATTAATAATGATTGCGTTCCTGTGTCCTACCGTGGGACATTGGACATTCAGTCACTAAACCCTCCATTCTGGAACTCCCTGGCAAAAGTCTTTTTAACTCCTCAACTTCAAAACAATCCCTTTCACCATGCCTTTGCTCAGCTTCCTCAAACACCCCTCCCTTGCTTGAGACAACCATCCTACATTAAAAGGCGCTGTGAGTACAAACTGTCCATATAAAGGCATCAGAAAAATGAGTGCACAGCAGGAATTCATATCCAGGTGAACACGACTGCCCTCTGGTGTGGCATTTGAAGGAAGAAAGAAGTGGCCCTTTTGTTGCACTGTTATTCCTGTACTTAAATACCCCCATTGAATGACAGAGTGGATAAAATGCACACACAGAAGATTAAAGAATGTGACAATCACGTAACATGCAAAAGCTAAAGGGTTCCTATAGCTTACTAACAAACACAACAGGGTCAGGGTATTGTGGACAAACACTTAATGGTTTGTGAGATTATCTCAATTCTGTATTGCTCTCAGCACTCTCCAGGCTGTGAGTTCTCTTGTATTTATTACCACTCCCGTACATCACAGCGAAGCAGGTTTTAATTCAGCTGTTCTCCAAACCACATTGCCCTCACCTCCTTGAGCAAGTCTCACCACCAGGACTCCTTGGGGTTTTATTATCCACTCATCGGTACACTTAGCGTTCTGTGTACAAGTATCCTGCAAGGATTTCCCGTTGAGAGCACCAGTCACAAAAGCTTTGTGAATCTGCCAGCAAAGGGAGAGAAGTATTTCCTCCTTGTTCCTTGAACAGGATCTTGATTTGGGAGAGGGAGGTTTACTATTCCTGTTAAGAAGCAGATGTTCAAGAGGTGGGGGGGGGGGATGGTGGAAATAAGCAGGGATTAGTTCTTGAACGAGATACCCTGAGAGAGCTGATTCGGAATCTGTGTATGCAAGCCAATAAACTAACTTGATCTGTCAACTCAGCTTCAAGCACTGTGCCATTCAGTGACTACTCCTCTCTAACTACCCTGATGGAGGATCAGCACTTGCATTTCAACAGGGACGTTTGAGAGAGAGAGAGAAAAAAATAGACTGAAACGCACGTTCACATTCAAGCATATCCTAATGCTTTGGAACGGGCCGTAAATCACAATGAATGGTCTTATTTATGAGGCACTTCTGTCTCGGCCCACTGTAAAGCCAAATCACTGCAGTGGATCCAATGCGGAAAAGACGCACACACACCTGAAAGCCCAATGCTGTCCTCAATGATATGTTCTTCCACGACGTCCAAGGAGGTATCATCCATCATTCCGGTGGAGGTCTCATCACAATCCAGACTAGAATAGAACAAGTCAGTGTTTGGCACTTGCTCCACGATCACAGCCGGGAATGACATGGGGTCTTCAAGCTGAGATAAAAAAAATAATAATAATTCTTGCATTTGATGTAAACAAGAGTAAAGCAAGGGAAGAGAGTGGGAGTAAGTGAAAGAGAGAGAGAAGGGAAAAAAAAACAAAGACAGTGATCTCCTCTTCCAAGGAAAGAGATTCTTCCTGTAGAAATTGAGATCGGGAGGTCATTTACTGGAACATTCATCATTATTTATACCGCAACCATCAATTGCACACAGGTTACTGAGGAGCAAGTCAGGTTGCTTTGTTTCAGGGAAGAGAGGCAAAGGCAGACTTTCATCACAAAGGACAAACTGGATTTCAATCATGTATCGAGGTCAGGTGTTAGATTTTTAAGACTTTAAAAAAAGAAAAGTATAAAGCAACAGATTTCATTCATTGTGAAAAGCAAATATCAGCCGCTCCCATCAGAATATTTTTTTTCTGATTCACTCTGATTCCATGGCCAGAGTTGGCTCTCCCATTACGACTCTTCTAGTCCCTATCCAACATTTTGATCTCTGGCGTGTGCCCAGCTCAATCACAACACGACACTGCGGATTGTTCACGCTACAAATCAAACACTTAAAATTCTAGTCATTCCCTGCAACGGCTCTGTGTGGGACATCGCTGAGCACAAATTGGCCGCCTACAAACACTTCGTAACAAGTCCTATGTAGCGCTTGGAGATATTTCGACAACGTGAGGAAAAGCAAAGATTATCATCCGTTATTATTTTGTCAATCAGTTTAGGCAGATACACTTCCCAGAAAGAGTTCAACGATGCCTCCGGTGTGATTGGCATCTCGTCAAACATTATTCTATTCGGAACAGAGACTTTTCTATGGCACCTCTCAGACTGCCTCGGTTAAGCCAAACAGACTGTGGAACATGGAGTCTCTGAAAGCATCTGTAAGCGACAGGAGACATTTCTGTTGAATGTGATCTGATGTTAGAATTATTTCTTGCTCATTTACCAATCCACCTCTCTGTTAAAACTGGGTCAAAAGCATTCGTGTTTCGATTTTCAGTGGATTTGGGCCCCACCCAATCTAACCATCCATCAGTCTGTTGTAAAATAATCACCTCCCATTATAGTGTATGTATCACTCATCCAATAAGATCACAATTTCCATTACAGGAGGGAGTGAGGGACTGATGCTGCCTGGGTTTGAGGTGGCAGCACTTCTCACACTCACAGGCAGATTAGGCACAATAAAGGTCTTCACAGAACATATTGTAAAGTGAATTGACTATATATTTTCATGTCGGGGCATCCTCCCGACGTGAAAGGGCACGATACAAATGTAATTTTGCATTGTATGGTATTTTGTGGGCGAAACTGAAGGCTAACCGTTCCCCACCCAGCATCGAGTAACAAAACCGGTGGAGGGAACAGCTTAAAAATCTTCAGAAGCCCAGCCCCGATTCCCAGGGCTCCAGCTGTCTGTCTGCCTTGCTGCAGCTCCGGGGTGGCTTGGGTACTGTTGGTGGGACGGGCAGGTTTGAGCTGCGTCCAGCAGAGGGCGGCAGACGGCTGCGAAATCCAGACCCAGGTCGCGCTCCAACTTCAGCCAACTTCACTGACACAAAGGCTGACCTAACCCCGAAAGTAGGCCTCACTAAATCTGCTCCCAGGGTCTCGCCCCGCACACAACACAATCCTGACGGACAAAGGCATAGCTTCCTCGGGCGCTAAAAGTAAAATAAGAAAACGCACCTGGTTTGTTTGATTTCAATTTCTATAATTTTACCTTTGATGAGCTCATTTTTCCCACATCATATTGCAACGCTGTGGACTGCCGCCTTTGACATCTCTCTGGGACAATCAGGACCAGGTGTATTATTGAACCTGTGGCAATCTGGGTACTTATGATGGTTTTATGGTTAAGTCCCAGCCTGGCTCAGTTGGTAGGACTCTTACTTCAGAATCAGAAGGTTGTGAGTTCAAACCCCATGTGGAGTCTTTGAATTCACGGTCAAGGCTGATGCTCCAATACAGTGTTGGGAGGAGCACTGCAATGTCAGAGGTGGATGAGATATTAAACCAAGGCTCCATATGCCTCTTTGGGTTGACGTTAAAAATCCCATGGCACTGTTTGAAAAGAGAAGGACGTTCCCCTACTCCCCACTCTCCAGTGTCCTGGCCAACAATCCACCAGATAAAATTAGTCATTCACTTCATACTGTATGTGGGACATTATTGAGTGCAGGTTGGCTGCTGTGTTTGCTTACAAAATACACATTCACTACACTACACTTTAGAGCAAATCGCAAATCCTTTACCAAACGCAAGCATTATTGTTATCATCTTAGTTTCCCAAGAGAAGGTAAACCAAAAACAGCTACTCGGCTATTGTGTTTCAAGTGAAAAAGCAAAGAGCTTGTTCCCACCCCCCCCAAGCACTGAGGAGCAGGACTTGCACAAACTTGAAAGTTCTCTTTGTGAAAAGATTGTTTATTGAGCCGTGGCTTTTATATATGATGGACGGAACAGTGTCTTTCAAAGAATGGAAAACCTGGCACATTAAAGGAAGTTGAAAACCAAACTCAAGCAAACTGCCTGGCCCTGAATTTGCAAAATAAATCAACAAGTGCCTGAGGCAAGAAGCACACGGGCCAGTTATATCAGTCATCGCTTTGTCAGACTTTGTCATGTTATTGATGCTTCTAATTTTTCCCTCACCACTTGCCTTCTTCCCCCAGCGCCTCTGTAACACTCACTATCGCCCACCTCATTAAAGTAACCAAGCAACCTTGACCCACAGGCAGCAGGTAACTAGAGCTAGAGGGGGCTCAGCCCTCCCCCCAATCTATCTACAGTCACCTATGTATGGGGGAATGGGAGGGGAAAGCCCGGAGACTGGGGAGGACCATAGCCTGTCTTAGAAGCAGTCCAACCTGGAGGCTCCTCTTGCCCATCTCCCAACTTATCCACTTTCACTCCAGCAGCTCCTTGTCGGGGCGGCCTTGCCTCTGATTAGCAGGTGGATGCCGGAGTCTGCACAGTGAGGAGGGTGGGGTCAGCCATCTTTGAAGCTGGCACGAAGCCTGCGTGGTGTGGAGAAGGGAGGAGGAGGTGGCCATCATTGGCACTGGCATGGAAGCTACGCCTGTCTCCAAGTGGAACGACCCCCGCGGGCCAAGATTATTTTCACCCGCCGCCTATGCCAAGATCCAACCTTTTTCTGATGTGGATCTAAAACCAGCCATTAGTAGGACAGATCCCATCACTGTTCCTTCACTGCAATTACCAAGTTTGAAGGACTTTCCCTCCAGAGTGCTATGCATTTCACATGGACAGTCACGCTGAAGTGGCACAGACCATGTTCACTGGCCTCTTTCCTTTCCTCCCCCACTTCTTCTCAATGTCACTAAATTACTTCTTAAGATTTTAGATCATTTTGGTTGCATTGTTGCTTTCTTTTAGGTCGATAAGAACTGTAAAGTGGTCAAGAGAAAAAAGGAGTCAAACACCATTAGGAGAAAATTGGTGTGAGGCAGAGAAAGAGAGAGTGTGTAAAATGAATTGCACAATAGACTTATTCAGATCCTCAAATGCCATGTTACATTTCTACATCAAAAGCTTTGGAGGTAATCTAGATAACAGGTTCATTTAGTCACACTAGCTCCCGGAACAGCACAATAGCGAGATTGTCATGTATTGGTTTAATTTTAGAAAATTATACTTAGCAGATCTAGGGGTGATATTAGTGAACATATATCTAACCCCTTCTATTGATCATTTGATGAGAAAACTATCCTTTATCTGAGAAGCCCTGATAAAGGTTAATAGCATAACCTCAGCTTCTCGTATATTAAATTTGTATCGGAGGTTGCAAAAGCAATAGTTTGAATGGACATTTTTGTAACGGAGGGAGGGGGAGGAGATAGAGGAAGACTGCAGGATGGGTTACATGTAGAAACAGTCAACAAGAAAGAATTTGTATTCTACCCAACACTAATTCCTCCATTGTCTGGTTCTTGTCTGATAACATCACCCTGCCATTCTGCAACTATAGTAAACAGCAGGGATGACAACAAGAAAAACTGTGCAGATTTAAATACAGTTTAAGCGCCTGTGGGCAGAATGCAATCCACTAAAAATGTTTCCCAACCACTAAGTGACCAGAAAAGCAAAAAAAGGAACACACTTGCATACTGTTGGATGCAGAACAACAACAACAACATGATTACATTTGTATAGCGCCTTTCACGTCCCAAGGAGCTGGACAGTGCACAGAATTTCAGACCCGAACTGGGGTCAGGAAGGGAGCAGGGAGGGGAGAGGGGAAGGGGGTTGACCTATGGCATGGTCGAAGAGGAGGGTTTTGAGGCGGGACTTGAAGGAGGCTAAGGAGGAAGCTGAGTTAGGACAGCTGAGAACATCTCGTCTCATGTCAGTCTAGTTATGCTACGCGCTCGAGTGGAGTACAACAACAAATTATGTTTGCATAGCGTCTTTCATGTCAGGAGGACGTCCCAAGGTACTGGATCCTCATCTGAGCTTAGCTGGACCAGCGATGAATTTAGCGCCCAAATATCTAACTCCCGTCTATTGATCATTTAATGAGAGGATGTATATTGACATTGAACTTGCTGAACGTACCTGGTGCACATCATCCATCCCGTTACTGGCGAATTCAAACACCAGCTCGGTGTGTTGCACAGCCGCAGCCATGACGCTGAGATCGAGGGCTCCAGCAGCTCTCCAGAACGGAGGCGAGACGGAATGCTTCACACTTGAGGGAATTGAGGCTCGCTCTCTGCTCCAGGAGGTAGTCAGTGTTACAGAAGCAGCCTCGGAAACCTCGCTCCCTGCGATGTGAGGAAACTCGCACCAAAGTGACTGGCTTCGAGTCAAAAATGCATGCACCTCACACGAGGTGGTAAAAACCAGGATAAGGGGGGGCAGGGAAGTCTTCACTTCTTAAGATGCGAATGTTATCTTCCACAGAAAGGATGTACTTGGAGCATTATGAACCAGTTCTGAAAGAAAATCAAATGAAATGCAGGTTAATCTGGAGTGTCACCGAATCACTATTCACAGGGACAAGAGGGGAATGTGTTATTCCCAGCTGTTGAGAGTCAATGGTGTGAACGTCAGGGTTTCAAATGGAAAACAGTGGGCCTCAGTAACCAGTGACAGGACCTGACCTATATAGTTTGTATATAGTAATTCTGGTCACATGGACTGGGACTCTCTCGTTCCATTGCAAACTGATTTTCTTGCATCAATGGACAACTGCAGTTTAGCTGTTGCTTGCTGTGTCTTGCATGAACATAAAAAATCATAGAAATTTATGGCACAAAAGGAGGCCCGACAGTCCATCGAGTCTGCATCAGCTCTCAGAGTAAGGTGTTCATTCAATCCCACCATCCTGCCTTATCTCTATGCCCCTTCAAGCTTCCAGGACACTGGAATCAATTAAATAGCAGCTTGATGTGTGATGGGGAGGGGAAATGGACATTAGGGTGGTATTGTAGAAGGAGATCAGATAGACCAAAAGGCCTCTTCATTCAATTCAATCTTGTGATCTCATGAACCCAAACACACCCACATTTATATATTCAGAACGAAACAAAATGATTTTGGATTTGACATGGAGACTTTCTATCATAGGCAAAGACAGCTCATATTTTTTCCATTAGACCAAAGTGGAACTTTTTGAAGACACTACATGTTGCATTAGATACAGGTGTTTAAAGTTACTTATGAAACGCAATTTTCTTTTGGCTTTTACCAAAAGAGAACGCTACAGGAAGATGTTCTGCAAAGTCACTGTCGATATAGTTATACTGGACTGTGAATACACAGAGTCCTACCAACCCTGTGCATACACACTGCAAGATTGCAAATGACTAAGTATATTATGAAACGTTAGGATTGTGAAACATTTAAAACGCCAGTATTTTGGCATTGCAGATAACTGCGTGGGCACCACAACAGCCAGACATTCACATTCAATTCGGAGAGTTCAGAAGTGATCACTGAAATTATCTTCAAAAAGGGAGGTTCTTTTCTCCCTTTATATAAAGCTCATATTTATCAATCAGCTCGCCGCAAACTCAGATTGAATTGGAATAGCAGCACTGCCCGTGATGGGTTAAATCGAGTTCTACATTCCACGATGAAGTGTGACACTTGAGGTTGATACCCATTCCGTTTAATCGACTGAAAGTTTCAAAGCAATCACACGCTTAAAATGCACAGGATAGTGACGCTGCATCAGCTGCAATACAATACATTTTAAGCTGCTTCATCTGGTGATCAAAGTGGGGCTCGGGGCCGGGAGTGGGGGGGGGGGGGGTTGGGGGAGAGCAGATGTTCCCCCAGGGTAATCGCAAGTTATTATCAAGTCCCAGTTTGCTCGCACTAGCACTAAACAGAGGTTTTAAGACTTGGCGTGTGGCATTTCTTCTGAAGATGGATCATGATGAAAACTCAAAGGAAATGGTTTCACACACACACACGCAATCAGCAACTGGTGGTTACATTACCATTGGTTGGTTTTCTGATTGCTAACTGTGTTGAAAATAAGACTTGCGCTAATCCTGCTGCGATAACTCACTGGTTATCTTTTTCTTCAAAACCAAACAAATATCCAGTTACTATTAATGGCGAGGAGATCTGCACCAGAAGCAACCCAGTGTGCTACTGACTTTCATCCGAGGGCCGAATGGATAGAATCTGTTGTGGCACCGACTCACTCGGAATCTTTACAACCTTCATTCACACTGTAGTGACGGACTGATTTAACAGTAACAGTATTGGTTCAATACACGAGCAGGAAAGGTCAGACTTAAACCAAAGACAACCTAATATTCCGTTAGCGCTTTTCTTAAATACAACACTTGGAATGGAGCACTGGTGTATGTCATCACCCACTGGGTCACAGCATCCGGAGGCTCCAAATTAACCTTCACAGACCAGGCCTGGGAAGGGCAACAAACAGCTCGCATTTATAGAGCGTCCTCCACGAAGAGTAACAACTCCAAACGCTTTACGATGGATGTGAACTGTACCCTGAGGTGTCAAATGGCAAATTTACAAAATAAAAAAAATAGAGCAAAGAGTTGCAAAAAGTGACACCTGGGCTAACCAGAGGTGCAGCACATCTGGGAGCAATGACCAGTTGATCACATTAAAATAGATTGCGTCAGAGCAGCGTGCTAGTGCTAATCTTTTCGCCCCCGATTATCTCGGCACTATAATGTCACGTGAACGCCGTCACACTTTACTGGATTGTCTGTGGTGTAGAGTAGAATCTCCTGCGATGCAAATCATTTATTTAAATGGTAACTGCTGTCCTGTACTGGCAGATTTCCTGAGAGCACTGCATCTTATGTCTCCTCTAAAGGTCCAGAGGCAGGCACCCTGTGATAGCTGGATGGAGATGCTTTGTTAACAGTTTTGAACCTAATCCTGCACCAATTGAAACATAACGTCATTGCGAAATGCAGCTTTGCACAAACTGTAAGAAGAGCCTTCGCAGGAGGAGCTTCAATCTCATTTGAATTGGGCGATGCAAACTCTGGGATAAAGGAAAACCAGTGTGTTATTCACCGAGGTCCGATCATTCAAAGCAACATTTCATACCCTGGGCGGAGGGTAAATTGAAAGCAGGTGATAAACCGGTGGTTTTGAAAAAGGCTTCAGAAATCCACCCTCAGGACGGCTGACAGGCTGGGCTAGGTTGGGTGTAGGAAACGGTTGTGAAACAGAGTGTTGCGCAAATTAGTCATCTGCTGGCAATTATGACACATCACAGGAATGGTACCCTGATGTTGACATCCCCATTTTGAGACAAACTGTGGCGTGATCTCCAGTTTCAGTTAACTCAAGAACCCACTGTTCGATAGAGCACTGCTGTTCTCCCGCATCCAGTTCTCAACATAAAATAACAACATAGAATAAAAATGAGATCTATCGCATTTTTTGAAAAAAATAGTGAACAAAGACAGCCTGTGCAGATGTTTTTGCATCGAACAGCCTTTCAAATTGTTGAGCTTGATCATTAATCCACCACGGTTGCCAACCTGCCCGCTCCCTCCACTCGGCAGTGACTGGCTTTCTCCCTATCTCCCGCCATGCCCCCCCTCCCATCGGCAGTTGGGCCTTCAGCCTTTCTGCCCCCACCCCCTGAACTCTAACCCAGAGTCACTTCACCTCAACCCCTCCCTTGCCTCCTTCAAGGCCAGTTTCAAGACCTTCCTCTTGGACCATGCCATCGATCACCCTCCCACCCCCATCCCTCTTGCCCTCCACCCCTCTTGACTCCAACCCCCAGTTCGGATGCAAACCCTTGACTGTCCAGTGCCTTGTAACATCCTCCCGAAGTGAAAGTCGCGGTATAAATGCAATTTGTCGTTGGTGTTTGTCTTCGGTCAATAAAGCACCATGTTGCTCACCAACCTATTGTTCGTTTTTAATTAAAGTGTTGGTTTGTACCAAAGTCAATCTGAGATGACTAATTTCAAACCTCTCTATCATTACAGCAAGAAAACCACAAGCAACACGTTGGACAAACAATCTAACACATCAGAGGTCTCTTTTTGCACTCAAACGTGTTTTGAGCAGTCGCAGCAAATTACCTCCTGGCAGTGCAATTATCATTTCATTTAAGAAGGTCAAAGAACTGCTGGGGTTTGCAATACTATTTCCAGGCTAGTAGATTGAAATGGGTTAGCGCTAACACAGAAGAAGAAATTACATGGACAATATATGGGCAAAATTAAAAAGGGAAGCAAAGGATGATATGGGACAGACCAGCAATCACGTCAGCCTGATATTGGTGCCCGCAATACATGTACGGGGCTGTAAAAGCAACTTAGAGGTTCCATGTACGAGATCATTACAAGGCAATCAACAACAACTTGCCCTTATATAGCAGCCTAAGGGTAGCGCCTCAGAGCGCTTAAAATGGCAGAGTCTGAGCCAGGGGGAGGTGGCCATAAGCACGGTCGAAGTGGAAGGTCTTAAAGCGGGACTTGAAAGAGGGGAGAGAGGGGGCAAGGCGTAGGGATTGAGGGAGAATGTTCCTGAGTTTTGGAGCATAGTGGCTGAAAGCGGGATCTCGAATGGTGGGGCAGAGGGTGCGAAGGACAAGCAGGAAGCCGATGCCAGTCGAACGGAGGTGCCGGATAGTAGATTGGGGAGTGAGGAGGTCGGAGAGGTAGGGAAGTGCCAGGGAGTGAATGGAAGTCGATCCGTTCGGTGATGGGGAGTCAGTGGAGCCTGGGCCAGAACTGGTGAGATGTGGGTATGGAGTTTGGTCCGGGTCAGTATGAGGGCGGCAGAGTTTTGAATGAGCTGGATCTTGTGAATGGTGGAGCTGGGGAGACGGGCGAGGAGTGCATTGGAGTAATCTAAGCAGGGGGTGACAAACGCACGCACGAGATTTTCGGCTGCATTTGGAGTAAGGTACGGTCAGAGGCGGGCAATAATAATAATAATCCTTGCATTTGATATAGTGCTTTTCACGTCTTCTAGACGTCTCAAAGCGTTTCACAGAATATGATGTAAATTGAATTGACTGTATATTTGTGGGCGAAATGCAATGCAACAGAGGTGGAAGAAGGCAGTCCTGGTCAGGGTCTGGATGTGGGGGAGGAAGGACAGCTGGGAGTCGAACCGGATGCCTAGGTTGTGCACTGGTCCAGTGAGTCTGAGGGAGATCCCAGGGAAGTTGAGGAGTTCAGATCTTCAGGAGTGAAGACGTTGACGGGAATCAAGGAGTATGGCTTCTGTCTTGTCCATATTCAGCTGCAGGAAGTTTACACTCATCCAGGCCTTGATGTCTGCCAGACAAGCTGATAGGACATCAGTGGACCTGGAGTAGATAACTGGAGGAGGTAAGTAGATTTGGGTGTCATCTGTATACATGTGGAAGTCTACCCTCTGTCTGCGGATGACTTCGCCCAGAGGGAGCATATAGATAAGGAAAAGAAGACGGTCAAGGATGAAGCCCTGGGGTAACCCTCAG